CCCCGGCCACAGGCCAGCCAAATCACAGTCCCACTGGGTGCACCGTCGTGGAGGCCTTCAACCACAATCCAGTCTGTAGCTGGCAGGTTCCGTTCAGCTTCACTGTGTAGGCCACTCCACGACCGATACTAGGGTTGTGAGCCCTAGGCAGGAGCTTCGTGTGATTCCGCAGATCACTCTCCTCTCTCCACACCACAGTGGCTAGTCTCTTCCACCAGCCAGCCACCAGATAAGACGATCCCTGGTACTGCCACGTCACAGGCAGGCTAACCCACTCAACAGCGTTCGTCCGGGGGTGACTCACAGCTTCTGCAGCAAACACGTGGAGAGACTTTGGCTGCCTTGGGTAGACTGCTCCACCGTCCAATACAGCAGTCCCAGGTCGACTCTGTAATCAGACACGTCATCAGTACTAGGGACGCTCTAGGGCACCTCACTTACAGGCTTAGACACAAACGTCCACCTATCCACTCCATAGATGGCGTTGCTGTCTAAGCGCCACCTCACCAGAGGTCAGCAGCGGCTATGTCACGAGCTGATTAAGACGGGAATCCAGCCCCTGTGGCCGGTATATCCCGTCCTCACTAGATGGCGTCGTCCATTTGGAGGGGGTTTCGGGAGCTGACCCACAGATCACCGCTCCGTGCCCGGACGCTAGACTCGGGTCCATAACATGGACAGAGATACATGATGATGGTGGTGGACAGAGAGACATGATGATGGTGGTGGACAGAGAGACATGATGATGGTGGTGGTTGTGTGTAAATCTACCAGTGATTGATTTGATTGTTAGTTAAAAAAACAGTATTTAATTGTATTTATTGTTTCTAAGTGGACTGCATTTTACAATATATTGACACTAGTAAACTTAAGTTTATTTTGACACTACTTAAATGGTAGATTTTAGCTAAGTGTTATACTACACTACTACTATTTTAGTTAAGAATGTATATATCTTCAGCTGTTTGTAGTGTGAGAGCTGGTCATCCTGCATCGAAGTTGATCTGCCACATGTGGTCCGTCGTGGAGTGTGTGTTGTCAGTATACCTGGGGTGGAACACGATACAAAGTAACATCTACCAAGGACAGATGTATTTCCAATGTAGTACTTAAATGTGGTTAGTTAGAGACATTTACCCCTGGTATGTGGTGTTGTCTTATGCCCTAACGATTTATCCTAGACACAGAAATAATTGGCCAATATAATCTGAGCTAATAGACTAACCGAACTGTGGCATTTTTTCTCCTGTCTTGCAAATTGCGGCAACAAATAGTGACTATATTCCTTTGGTGTAAATCACGCTGTTTAATACTTGCAGGAGGAAATTGGGGTTGTGGAAGGCCCGCTTGTTGGGTCCAGGATTCACCACAACGACACTGGCAGTGCCTCTATATACAATGGCTGCCTTCCTCCTCTCTGGTCCAGAACCATTTGTTTATATTTGAGATTCGGGAGAAAGAATGGGTTTGAGGTCAAGTCTATTTACTATATAATTAATTTAGTAGATTCATTTTATTGTGTAACTAGCCCTGAGACTGGTGGATTTTATTAAGTTATCCAAAACATTGGCTGAAGTTGTGTAGCTGACCTTGGGTATGTAACCCCATTTTCTGTAACTTTTCTATAACTAACCAATGTAAATTTCACATATTATTACAATTACATTAGAGTTTGTATATTTGATTTGGAAATTTCCCACAGTGGGGAACGAGAACTTCGAAAACTTTTAAATCCAGGAATCCCATCACAATGGTTGTACTCTTCAAGTCACTTGTGTTGTTCCGTCTTGAGTACTGCTCAGTACTCACTTACCCCTTCAGAGCAGGAGAGATTGCTGAAATAGAGGGAATACAGAGAACATATACGGCACGCATAGACGCAATAAAGCACCTAAATTATTGGGATGGTCTCAAAGCTCTCCAAATGTACTCACTAGAAAGGAGACGAGAGAGATATATCAAATAATATACACCTGGAAAATACTGGAGGGCCAGGTCCCAAATCTACACAGTAAAATAACAACGTACTGGAGTGAACGATATGGAAGAAAATGTAGAATAGAACCAGTGAAGAGCAGAGGTGCCATAGGCACAATCAGAGAACACTGTATAAACATCAGAGGTCCGCGGTTGTTCAACGTCCTCCCAGCGAGCATAAGAAATGTTGCCGGATAAACCGTGGACATTTTCAAGAGAAAACTGGACTGTTTTCTAAAAAACGTGCTGGACAAACCAGGCTGTGGTGGGTTTGTGGGCCTGCGGGCCGCTCCAAGCAACAGTCTGGTGAACCAAACTCTCACAAGTCAAGCCTGGCCTCGGGCCGGGCTTGAGGAGTAGAAGAACTCCCAGAACCCCATCAACCAGGTGGTGGACAGAGAGACATGATAGTGATGGTGGACAGAGATACATTTATTTATATATTATTTATTTATTTATTTATTTATTTATTTATTTATATACAATAGTTCTTACATTCCTATACAGTCACGAGCACGCGCAGCGTTTCGGGCAAGTCCTTAATCCTAATTTTCCCCGGAATACGACCCCGCCCAATCGTTTAACAACCAGGCACCCATTTTACTGTTGGGTTAAACAGGCTACAGTTCAGGATTGGCTGCCAGTAAATCCTCCCTGGCTAGGATACGAACCCAGGACAAATAGCTCGCGAAACGCCAAGCTAGTGTCTTACCACTACGCCACGGGGCCCTCTGGCGTAGTGAGACATGTGATCGTGTAGTGGACAGAGAGACACGATGGTGGTGGTGGACAGAGAGACACGATGGTGGTGGTGGACAGAGAGACACGATGGTGGTGGTGGACAGAGAGACACGATGGTGGTGGTGGACAGAGAGACACGATGGTGGTGGTGGACAGAGAGACATGATGGTGGTGGTGGACAGAGAGACACGATGGTGGTGGTGGACAGAGAGACACGATGGTGGTGGTGGACAGAGAGACACGATGGTGGTGGTGGACAGAGAGACACGATGGTAGTGGTGGACAGAGAGACATGATGGTGGTGGTGGACAGAGAGACACGATGGTGATGGTGGGCAGAGAGACACGATGGTGGTGGTGGACAGAGAGACACGATGGTGGTGGTGGACAGAGAGACACGATGGTGGTGGTGGACAGAGAGACACGATGGTGGTGGTGGACAGAGAGACACGATGGTGGTGGTGGACAGAGAGACACGATGGTGGTGGTGGACAGAGAGACACGATGGTGGTGGTGGAGAGAGAGACATGATGGTGGTGGTGGACAGAGAGACATGATGGTGGTGGTGGACAGAAAGACATGATGGTGTTGGTGGACAGAGAGACACGATGGTGGTGGTGGACAGAGAGACATGATGGTGGTGGTGGACAGACAGACATGATGATGGTGGTGGACAGAGAGACATGATGGTGGTGGTGGACAGAGAGACATGATGGTGGTGGTGGACAGAGAGACATGATGATGGTGGTGGACAGAGAGACATGATGGTGGTGGTGGACAGAGAGACATGATGGTGGTGGTGGACAGAGAGACATGATGGTGGAGGTGGACAGAGAGACATGATGGTGGTGGTGGACAGAGTGACATGATGGTGGTGGTGGACAGAGAGACATGATGAGGGTGGTGGTGGTGGACAGAGAGACATAATGGTGGTGGACAACCTGTACAATCGTCAGTACCTCTGCTACAGAGAATACTTTCACTAACAGTGTCACGTAAACTTTTACTTGAATATAAGGAACGAATTGTCTTTTTCCCTCACGTGAGTTCATTGGATAAATTTTGTCGTGGAGCGTCCAACGATTGCACCAAGTTGGGGCAAATTGAGGCCAACTTTCTCCAGCGTCCCGGTCGTCATGGCCGACTGGGACGTCCCGGGTTTATCTGGAAATGTGTGTCCTGAGCGCTCCGGGAGGCCGGGGTCCTGAGCGCTCCGGGAGGCCGGGGTCCTGAGCGCTCCGGGAGGCCGGGGTCCTGAGCGCTCCGGGAGGCCGGGGTCCTGAGCGCTCCGGGAGGCCGGGGTCCTGAGCGCTCCGGGAGGCCGGGGTCCTGAGCGCTCCGGGAGGCCGGGGTCCTGAGCGCTCCGGGAGGCCGGGGTCCTGAGCGCTCCGGGAGGCCGGGGTCCTGAGCGCTCCGGGAGGCCGGGGTCCTGAGCGCTCCGGGAGGCCGGGGTCCTGAGCGCTCCGGGAGGCCAGGGTCCTGAGCGCTCCGGGAGGCCGGGGTCCTCAGCGCTCCGGGAGGCCGGGGTCCTGAGCGCTCCGGGAGGCCGGGGTCCTCAGCGCTCCGGGAGGCCGGGGTCCTGAGCGCTCCGGGAGGCCGGGGTCCTGAGCGCTCCGGGAGGCCGGGGTCCTGAGCGCTCCGGGAGGCCGGTGTCCTGAGCACTCCGGGAGGCCGGGGTCCTGAGCGCTCCGGGAGGCCGGGGTCCTGAGCACTCCGGGAGGCCGGGGTCCTGAGCGCTCCGGGAGGCCGGGGTCCTGAGCGCTCCGGGAGGCCGGGGTCCTGCTCCTCGCTGTGGCTTCAAAAGATTTGTTTGGAAAAGTTTGTTCTTGCTGTTAAGTGATCTTTTATTTTTATTTCTACAAATGACTCAAAGAGTGTAAATAGTAACGAGTTTTTTTTAGAATTATGGAATTATCAACACACATACATTCCATGTGATCAAGAGCAGTTCTCAATAAATTCTATTTTAGCCTCAGGATGAATTCATGAGATGATAAGATTAGCACACAGTTAATAGGAGCTGTTGAAAAATGTTGCTGTTGAGTTATGAGTAAGTCAGTATTGTGGTTGCTTACTAACACCACAGGTGTGAGGTATTATTACCTATAACAAATTATTACCGAATATACAGTGATATATGTAGAAATATACCAAGCTGAATATATAAAGCTAACTTAAAGGTTAGGAATTAAAATTGAGGGATGTCTTTGCAGCAGATGTTAGTAGGTAAACTATATATTGATGTTGTGGTGTGAAGGTGACGACTGTGTGTTCCTCCTGCAGCGTGGTGCGCCATCCTGGAGGAGGAGTCCGGCAGCCACCAGCAGCACGTATATAACTCCCTGCCGCCCTTCGTCGACGTCCTCCCGCCGGGGCCCTTCTACGATGTGGAGCGCTCGGCCAACGTCACCGCCCTGGTCGACCAGCCCGCCAAGCTCAACTGTAGGGTCAATAAGATTGGCAACAGAACAGTAAGTTGCAGACTATTGTAGGTGGAGCAGACTATTGCATGGTAGACTACTGTGTCAACAGAACGGTAAGTTGCAGACTATTGTAGGTGGAGCAGACTATTGCATGGTAGACTACTGGGTCAACAGAACTGTAAGTTGCAGACTATTGTAGGTGGGGCAGACTACTGCATGGTAGACTACTGGGTCATTTCTGAGTCTCAGACCACCACGAGGCAGACTGACGAGTCACTGACAAGAAGCAAATTACAAAGTAACATGTTCCTATGTAACAATCTTCTGAGTCATTACTAAATGACAGTGTCAGACTTGGCAGACTTAACTGAAGCGTTGCGATGTTGAAGTATGTGCACAGACACTGATAAGTGTCAGGGTTTAATGATATATTAATGTGAGCGACGCTGCTGGAGCATTACTAAGTGGAGGATGCTGCTGGAGCATTACTAAGTGGAGGACGCTACTGGAGCATTACTAAGTGGAGGACGCTGCTGGAGCATTACTAAGTGGAGGACGCTGCTGGAGCATTACTAAGTGGAGGACGCTGCTGGAGCATTACTAAGTGGAGGACGCTGCTGGAGCATTACTAAGTGGAGGACGCTAAATAATTACAAAAAATCAAATATTTTCATGACGGACATTTTTTTCATTAATTGAAATTTCTAAACACAATGCTCATCAGTCTGGACTTCGATGTAAGATATATAAATTAAAGTTTTCGTTCTCTATAAACACAAACATAATTAAAGACAACAGCTTAAGTCTAGCTCCAGTAAAGTCTTAATAGAAACCGAAGTTGGTAATATATTGGATCATTTTAATATGTTAACAATTTGAATAGACAATGACGGGAATATTTTATTATGTTAACAATAATTAAATTAAACTTCTGTCTCGGGATTATTAAGATCTTAACAACCAAATTGGTCCGAGTTGTTAGAAATTAACAAGTGTAAACTACAATCATTTATTATATTAACATTTAATCTGCAGGTGAATTACATTAAGCCCTTATGTAGTACACGTTGAGTGCAGACTAACATTATCTAGAACACGTTGAGTGCAGACTAACATTATCTAGAACACGTTGAGTGCAGACTAACATTATCTAGAACACGTTGAGTGCAGACTAACATTATCTAGAACACGTTGAGTGCAGACTAACATTATCTAGAACACGTTGAGTGCAGACTAACATTATCTAGAACACGTTGAGTGCAGACTAACATTATCTAGAACACGTTGAGTGCAGACTAACATAACCTAGAACACGTTGAGTGCAGATTAACATTATCTAGAACACGTTGAGTGCACACTAACATTATCTAGAACACGTTGAGTGCACACTAACATTATCTAGAACACGTTGAGTGCAGACTAACATTATCTAGAACACGTTTAGTGCACACTAACATTATCTAGAACACGTTGAGTGCACACTAACATTATCTAGAACAATTGAGTGCAGACTAACATTATCTAGAACACGTTGAGTGCAGACTAACATTATCTAGAACACGTTTAGTGCACACTAACATTATCTAGAACACGTTGAGTGCACACTAACATTATCTAGAACAAATTGAGTGCAGACTAACATTATCTAGAACACGTTGAGTGCAGACTAACATTATCTAGAACACGTTGAGTGCACACTAACATTATCTAGAACACGTTGAGTGCACACTAACATTATCTAGAACACGTTGAGTGCAGACACTAACATTATCTAGAACACGTTGAGTGCAGACTAACATTATCTAGAACACGTTTAGTGCACACTTACATTATCTAGAACACGTTGAGTGCACACTAACATTATCTAGAACAAATTGAGTGCAGACTAACATTATCTAGAACACGTTGAGTGCAGACTAACATTATCTAGAACACGTTTAGTGCACACTAACATTATCTAGAACACGTTGAGTGCACACTAACATTATCTAGAACAAATTGAGTGCAGACTAACATTATCTAGAACACGTTGAGTGCAGACTAACATTATCTAGAACACGTTGAGTGCACACTAACATTATCTAGAACAAGTTGAGTGCAGACTAACATTATCTAGAACAAGTTGAGTGCAGACTAACATTATCTAGAACACGTTGAGTGCAGACTAACATTATCTAGAACAAGTTGAGTGCAGAATAACATTACCTAGAACAAGTTGAGTGCATACTAACATAACCTAGAACAAGTTGAGTGCAGACTAACATTATCTAGAACAAGTTGAGTGCAGAATAACATTACCTAGAACAAGTTGAGTGCATACTAACATAACCTAGAACAAGTTGAGTGCAGACTAACATTATCTAGAACAAGTTGAGTGCAGACTAACATTATCTAGAACAAGTTGAGTGCAGAATAACATTAACTAGAACAAGTTGAGTGCATACTAACATAACCTAGAACAAGTTGAGTGCAGACTAACATTATCTAGAACACGTTGAGTGCAGACTAACATTATCTAGAACACGTTTAGTGCACACTAACATTATCTAGAACACGTTGAGTGCACACTAACATTATCTAGAACAAATTGAGTGCAGACTAACATTATCTAGAACACGTTGAGTGCAGACTAACATTATCTAGAACACGTTTAGTGCACACTAACATTATCTAGAACACGTTGAGTGCACACTAACATTATCTAGAACAAATTGAGTGCAGACTAACATTATCTAGAACACGTTGAGTGCAGACTAACATTATCTAGAACACGTTTAGTGCACACTAACATTATCTAGAACACGTTGAGTGCACACTAACATTATCTAGAACAAATTGAGTGCAGACTAACATTATCTAGAACACGTTGAGTGCAGACTAACATTATCTAGAACACGTTGAGTGCACACTAACATTATCTAGAACACGTTGAGTGCACACTAACATTATCTAGAACACGTTGAGTGCACACTAACATTATCTAGAACACGTTGAGTGCAGACTAACATTATCTAGAACACGTTTAGTGCACACTTACATTATCTAGAACACGTTGAGTGCACACTAACATTATCTAGAACAAATTGAGTGCAGACTAACATTATCTAGAACACGTTGAGTGCAGACTAACATTATCTAGAACACGTTTAGTGCACACTAACATTATCTAGAACACGTTGAGTGCACACTAACATTATCTAGAACAAATTGAGTGCAGACTAACATTATCTAGAACACGTTGAGTGCAGACTAACATTATCTAGAACACGTTGAGTGCACACTAACATTATCTAGAACAAGTTGAGTGCAGACTAACATTATCTAGAACAAGTTGAGTGCAGACTAACATTATCTAGAACACGTTGAGTGCAGACTAACATTATCTAGAACAAGTTGAGTGCAGAATAACATTACCTAGAACAAGTTGAGTGCATACTAACATAACCTAGAACAAGTTGAGTGCAGACTAACATTATCTAGAACAAGTTGAGTGCAGAATAACATTACCTAGAACAAGTTGAGTGCATACTAACATAACCTAGAACAAGTTGAGTGCAGACTAACATTATCTAGAACAAGTTGAGTGCAGACTAACATTATCTAGAACAAGTTGAGTGCAGAATAACATTAACTGGAACAAGTTGAGTGCATACTAACATAACCTAGAACAAGTTGAGTGCAGACTAACATTATCTAGAACACGTTGAGTGCAGACTAACATTATCTAGAACACGTTTAGTGCACACTAACATTATCTAGAACACGTTGAGTGCACACTAACATTATCTAGAACAAATTGAGTGCAGACTAACATTATCTAGAACACGTTGAGTGCAGACTAACATTATCTAGAACACGTTTAGTGCACACTAACATTATCTAGAACACGTTGAGTGCACACTAACATTATCTAGAACAAATTGAGTGCAGACTAACATTTTCTAGAACACGTTGAGTGCAGACTAACATTATCTAGAACACGTTTAGTGCACACTAACATTATCTAGAACACGTTGAGTGCACACTAACATTATCTAGAACAAATTGAGTGCAAACTAACATTATCTAGAACACGTTGAGTGCAGACTAACATTATCTAGAACACGTTGAGTGCACACTAACATTATCTAGAACAAGTTGAGTGCAGACTAACATTATCTAGAACAAGTTGAGTGCAGACTAACATTATCTAGAACACGTTGAGTGCAGACTAACATTATCTAGAACAAGTTGAGTGCAGAATAACATTACCTAGAACAAGTTGAGTGCATACTAACATAACCTAGAACAAGTTGAGTGCAGACTAACATTATCTAGAACAAGTTGAGTGCAGAATAACATTACCTAGAACAAGTTGAGTGCATACTAACATAACCTAGAACAAGTTGAGTGCAGACTAACATTATCTAGAACAAGTTGAGTGCAGACTAACATTATCTAGAACAAGTTGAGTGCAGAATAACATTAACTAGAACAAGTTGAGTGCATACTAACATAACCTAGAACAAGTTGAGTGCAGACTAACATTATCTAGAACACGTTGAGTGCAGACTAACATTATCTAGAACACGTTTAGTGCACACTAACATTATCTAGAACACGTTGAGTGCACACTAACATTATCTAGAACAAATTGAGTGCAGACTAACATTATCTAGAACACGTTGAGTGCAGACTAACATTATCTAGAACACGTTGAGTACACACTAACATTATCTAGAACAAGTTGAGTGCAGACTAACATTATCTAGAACAAGTTGAGTGCAGACTAACATTATCTAGAACACGTTGAGTGCAGACTAACATTATCTAGAACAAGTTGAGTGCAGAATAACATTACCTAGAACAAGTTGAGTGCATACTAACATAACCTAGAACAAGTTGAGTGCAGACTAACATTATCTAGAACAAGTTGAGTGCAGAATAACATTACCTAGAACAAGTTGAGTGCATACTAACATAACCTAGAACAAGTTGAGTGCAGACTAACATTATCTAGAACAAGTTGAGTGCAGACTAGCATTATCTAGAACAAGTTGAGTGCAGAA